GTGGTGGTGTTGGTGGTGGTCGTGGTGGTGGTGGTCGTGGTGGTGGGGGAAGAGATGCGTCGTGTCAATGGGGTTATTTTGCAAGTGTGCATGTACGAAAACAAGGCCGGGGATGTTTTGACAACATCTTCCATGTAGCATTCGACGTTTTGGGGGTCATTGCGGAAGCACCCAGTCTGGAACCTGTTTTGAAACCTACATGGGTCAACCTATTTTCTTTCGAAAAAGCTCTGTCATTGCGGAGGCGCTGCCCATGACGCCCCCGCCGATTCCGATCCTTCTTTTCTCGTTGCTGGCCTTCTGGGTCCCATGGGCTGTGCAAGGATGAAAAGTGTCGTTATGAGTGTTGGTTTGACAGTTGCAATTCTTCCTTGGTTATTTATTGATGCTGGCACCTGAATTCAACCTCCCATGGTTCCTTGATGATGGCCTTTTGCCCCAAGTGACGGGAACCCTGGCTACTCTCAAGGGAATGCGGGGGGTATCGGCAACCATGTCTTCTTCCAATAACGTCACCTGTTTGAAAACCTTTCCAGTACCAAAATGCTAAATAGTCCCTACATTATATGCGGTGTTTTCTTGTGGTACTTTTTACTAAGGCATGGGGAGGTCGATTTTTGGGGCGGGGGATTGCTGTGATTCTTTTGCGAGCCTAAACCCTAAACCTCAACTGGGTTTAACTTCAAATGCACTGAGTTTATATGGTTTAGGGATTAGGGTTTAAGGTTTTAAATAGATATCTGGAATTCGTCCTTAAGTGCATTGTGCTTCGGAACTTGTGATATTTTGGTTTTGTGAGGTCATAAGCTTTCGTATCAACAGGAAGAGTGCGCTGTGGGTTTGCGCATTGCCGAGGCCTTAGGTTTGCGGGTTCGCTGGGACAAGGGGAGAATTGTCGTTACCAAATGTTGTTTTTCTATAAGATAGAGACACTTGCAAGGGTAGTTTTGATTTTGCATGTTTAATGCCTTCAATATTCGTATAGTCTTGATAAACCCGTAACAATTTGATTTAGAAAAGGTTCCCGAACCTACCGACGTAAATTCCTGGGGTCCTCCGAGCCCACAAGAGTTGCGTCCTTGTTAGAGACCTGATTCCCCGCTGCGCCTGCTTTCAGAACTGCTTGTTGCTCCGGTATGCCACAACAGAAGAATGGCTTAGTTGATGTACTACGCAGACGTCGTGTTGGTCCGGGACAGGCTCGGAGACTGGGCTGCAGTTCAGTGGGCCTTGAGGATTTTCACATGCCACGCCAGGAACATTAAACCCCGATAAGTTGCACATAATGAGCTGTAGATGTGTGAGCTGCAAACCCCGGCATTGGAAGTCTCAAAGTTGAAACGGATTCAGAGTCTCACAGAGCTGCAGCAATGGAGCCTCCTATGTGGAAGGTCTGTACATTTGGAGCATGCATCTCATGCAGCACGTCACACCTGGGTGATTTTTCTAGGTGACCACAAGCAAGCTGTAACATACACCCAGCGACAGGCCTTGCTTCTGACCATCAAACAATAAACATATGAGGCAGCAGATACTTTGGAAAAGACAGCTCGGACCCCCAACACACATTTGGAGATAGCAGGTAGTTTCTTCTTATCCGTAGCAAGGCAACATGAGCTTAAGTCTAAATTCCTTACGGGGGGTTACATAGGGGACGATGTAGGGGAGTATCACAAGGGTTGCAAAGGGGGTCTAAACCCATATCCCTAAATCCCAAATCCTAAGCCGAGGGAGTACTAGGAGTTAAGACTAAACCCTAAACCCTAAACCCTAAGCTCACATAGTTTTCTGGCATAGCCTTGGTGTAATGGGCAATTTGCGGTTGATATTGATATGCTAGCGCAAAGTCTGTTATACCTGAGGACTTATACGTATCCGAGTACGCTGAACCCTAAGCCTAAACCGTAAATCCCAAACCCTA